CCAATTCCATGAACCTTGAAAGACTTATTGGCACCAAGGAGAAATATTCCACCTTGCTCCAACTTCAAATTCTCAAAGTATTCTTTTCTTGGACACATGTGGTAAAAGTAACCTGAGTCTAAAACCCAACTATCTCCAGTCTTCAAACTCGACACCACTAGTGCACCAGTTGTAACACCTCAACTTTTAAATAGAGTATTTTATTTAATTGTTCATGTGACTTATTCATTAAATGTACATATAATACATCAGGTATGTTGGCCTTCTGACATTTCTTCTCAATACAATTATGTTTCTTCTTCTCTATGATGTGATATGCCTGCCATCTGCAAACTTGGTCACTTTCTTGACTGATTTATCCAACTTGGTAAGCCATATTTAATTTTCAGTTATGGGTTACTACATTCTAAATCTAAATACCTCGCGTTGGTTTGTTCATTGTTTGACAGAGTATTTCCCATGAGCAACATATCATCAGAGTCGCTATCTCCAGCATGTGCATATTTCCTTTCATCGTGATCTTTTTATCTAGATTCCTTCTTTCTTCGACAATCTCTAGCATAATGACCAAATCATTGACAATTGTAACACTGCACCTCCTTCATGTCAACTTTCTTCCTTGATAATTATTGTCGATGACTTTATTGATTGGATCAGAGTGGTTCTTTGAATTCTTCCTTGAATTCTAATCATTAGCAAGATTCTTTCTCTACTTCGCCTTTTCTTTCCCATATTTCATGATGAATCTTACTTGTAGTGCCTCTACAGCCACTTTCTCCCTTTCTGAGTTCCTCTGCTTCAGTCTCATATCATGAGCCTCCGGTGAAGCTTGAAGTTCTTCCACCTTCATCTAAGTCAGATTCTTGGACTCTTCAATAGACGCAACAATTGATTGATTCACCATAGGCCTTCATCTGGTTCATTAACAGCACCATACGTGTAATGAATTCTAAGACTGACTCGTTTTCCTTCATCATAGTCATCTTGAATTGCTTTCTCAATGTCTGCAACTTTACCCTTTTTAGTTTATCATCTTCATCGTGCAAGTTCTTTAACTTGTCCCACGCTTCTTGAGCAGATTCTTTTTTAATGATCTTCTCGAACAAGTTTGTATCCACACATTGATGAATCAAGATAGAAATTTTCTATCTTTCTTCCTTTGTTCCTTGTGTGCATCCTTTTGAACATCATTTGCATTTGCTTCCAATGTTGGTACTCCATCATTCATAATTTCAGCTACATCTTGAAATCTGAAGATGACATTCATTTGTGCAACCCACCTTTTGTAATTCTCACCTTCGAAAACTAGTACATTCATATGGAATTGTGTTGATGTTGTATTTTTTTTTCCATTTCAAATTCTATCTGTATCGTAATCTAGGCTCGTTGATACGAATTTGTTGGAACAATTAGGGTTTCAAGACGATTGAATGAAGAAGAAAGAAAGAAACAAAGAAAATAGAGAAAACTGTATTTTAAAAAGGGAAAATCTTACTAAATGTAAAATTGTATTTTGAATTACTACTTTATGCCTATTTATAGGCAACCAATGCTCAAGCCCAAAACATGCAAAATTACATTTTGGCTTCAACACAACAACTATATGATGTATTCGACTAGGTCGAACACGAATTCATAAACATTGAATTATAACTTATAACAACTCTTAGGAATTTACTCTTGCATTTTTAAGATTACCACTAGGATTTGCAACATCTTCCCTCTGTATTGAGCTCTAAAGCTATAAAGGTTGTGAAGACAAAAATGAAAAAGATACATATTTATAACTGTTGAAATCCAGCAGATAAAACAGATCCATAAACTGAAATAAACAAGTTCGATATACAAAAACTTCTTTGACCGGATTTGATACACGACAAACTTGAATCTCCTACTGGAATCGACCCGACTGGTGTATTGACCCGTTGGCGACCAAACCCACCATAGGCCTCACCGCACCTACTGTGTCGTAGTATCGGTCTTTATCAACTTTCAAACTCATTTTTAGTTTTTACATTCTCAAAACATTTTTTGTGTTCATCCCCTGAGGTTTTAAGGGCATACCTCAACATTTTATTTCACTACTAATGGGTAATCATTTTACTATGATACTAGTTGTCCCATTTTTTAATACTTTATTTTGTAGTTGATATATCTTTTGGAATTGGATCGTGTAGTATGCACTCAATTATGTTTGTTATATTGAGAATTTCTTATTGCGCCCTAGATGTTTCTAATGCACCATGTGAATTTCCACATATGCCCCCTGATTTCAAAGATACATCTTTGGACGCACCTATTTCTGAATAAACGTTGACATATTCCAGAGATATACCTCTGAAACAATTTTAAACATTCAAAACATGCCACTCAGAAACCATTTACATTTGAATTATTCTAGAGATGCATCTTCTTTAATATTCCGGAGATACATCTCCGAAGTGTATCAGAACAGTGTTTTTTGCTATAAGTTGTGTATTTGTTTTCAGATGAAGTATGAAGCACAATCTCGAACAAAAAATAGACGTACAAAATAATAAGATACTAATACTTGATGTGTCGAAAATGATATAGTAATATATGTAAAAAAAATGACATACAATCGAGATCCAAAATGTAATAAAACCGTAAAAATAAAGTAGAGAGTATAGTACTGCAAAAAAAAATAACAGCCTATTACTGTGTGTGCCTAACAACACCTCATCTGCCTCCTCTTCCTACTCTTCCTCCTCGGCTATCAATCTTCCACGTCCTTCGGTGATGTCTCTACTACAACATTTCCCCTTGTGCCTCCACCATGATGGCATCCAGGACTCGCCTGACAGCAGACCCATTAGGGAAGATAACCTCGTTAATGCTTGATTGTGCAATCTCCACTATGTGACGACACCTAGGAAAGACATTATTAGTATGATCTAGTTGAGTCCGCTCCTCCTCTAGTATCTCCTGATGAGCTGGTTTCGACGGATCTCTTGGAGCAGTTTGCACCATGTACGGATGTGACATCCTGAAGAACTGTGTGATGTACCCCTTAACGTAGTTCCAATCATTCGGTGATATGGTAGCTTGTGCCTCCTCCGGTACCAGATGATTCATAATCAGCAAACATCTCCTCTATTTGTCTACGAGACAAGGAAGGAGCAGAGAAGCAGGGTGTGTAGGAATCGTCTGGGTGTACCTGGACTGCACATAACGTGCTCAGGCAGATGAGGATTGGTGATACGCAATCAGGAGCCCAACCATCTAGAGTATAGCACTATCTCGTAAATAGTTGCTTTTAACGGTGATCCACGTAGATATTGAAGTGCATGTCCTCAACAACCAAACGGTCAAGACAGACTCTAAAAGACCTGACCGCCTGTTCCCTTTGAAAGGGACAAAAGCACTAGCATGCGGCATATCCTCAATGTACTCATACACACTCGCCTAGTCAGCGATGCGCGGGAAGTGCTGGAGGATCTAAGCCTAAAATGAAAATTAAAAAAAAATCATTCAAGGATCAAGAATTATTGGCAATGGTTTCGCAAGTATGAAATGAAAATGACAAAAAAAACATTCAAGGATTAAAAAATAGTGTTCGCTGCCAGTGGCCTGCTTTGTCTTCCACCGATATCTCTCTCTCAACTTCGAATAAAGATAGGCCAGGAAATCCGCCCCCTAGTTGTACTCATGGATCTGAATGAGATCCAAGAAGTACCAGAGGTATGCAACGTAAATATAAGTGGCACTCGTGTCCATAAAAATGCAAGTACCAACCAAAAAAAGAAAGTATGCTCTCAAAGCACGAGCCCTACGTACCACCACCTGCTCATCATCACCATTAGCCTATTGTACCTTAAGGATCTCATCATCATAGGTCTTTCTCGTGAACTCAAATCTAGCATGAGCACCCCTGGTCCTATTCACCTCCTTCATCTCCTTCTCTGGATCAGCTTACATATGCTCTACCATCATCTCGACTACCTCGTCTTTGGTCATCTTCCCATGATTGAGGAATCTCCCCCTGATCGGAAGATATAACAAACACGAGACATTGTCCAATGTGATAGACATCTCATATCCGATAATATCCTGCAACATCCGATATAATAATGCCATTTATATATCAGATTCCATTATTATATATCAACCCGACACCCAATCCAATCCGATCCATTTATAAAAAAAGACAATATCGATAAGAACTAAATTGACACTAAATGCAATAATACAAGGACACCTTTGATAGACTTTGCATTTAAGATAGTACTAGTACATCTTCTACGTCATGAATTGTGATTATAATAATGGAATTCTGAAAATAAATTTTAAAAACACCTAGCAAAGTACAATAGTTGGTTAAAGATTTCAACATTCTTAACTCAATTCTTAAAATTAAACTTTATTCATCAATTGAGTCTTCAAAACCTCTTCACTTCCATTGTCATTAACTAAGGAGACAACTTTGTCCATTAACATTATGCTCGAAACCTCTTCAGTTCCACTGTCCTTAAGAAATCCTTACTTACACTCCATACATAAAACTTACAGTCACAACAAAATATCATCAAAATTCAGAAAAGAGAATAATCGGCTATGCTTCAATCAATTCAGGGTTGATTGAATTGTAATATACAGTAGGAGTTCGTCCACAGTAACCACACTGTTTGAACACATACAACAAAATTTCTACACTAAAGAGAAGTGAAGATGCTACTAAACTTTAACTAGATTCAAACTCAACCAAACTTTAACTTTAACTAGATTCCATCATCACTTGAGCAAAATAACTACATGAGCCACAAAATCCAACACAACCCTTACAGCCAAAACTCCTTCAATAGCACACGACCTTCAAATGGCATTATATGATATATAGACACGAGTTCTAAACAAATCACAAACTAGAGTGACAATCTAAGTTCCTGCCAAATGATTTTTCATCAAAAAAGATAGGTTACATTTTAAATGAAACTTCTCCAAAGCTGTTCAAATATAGGCATCAAATGAACCAAGTAAATCTAATATTCATCCTCGCTATTTTCTTCAATATGGGAATGCATCATCATTGATATCAAGGCTGCCTCCATAGGATCCAATTCATCGAAATCATCTGGGTCGAAATCATCTGGGCCAAAATCATCTGGACCAAAATCATCTGGGCCAAAATCATCCAGGTTATCTAGAGCCTCTGACATAGCAGCCCTTCGAAAAAATTCGAAGGTCTCCCCCTCATCATCAGACTCAAAAGGACCCAAACAAGGAACTGAACCACCAGCCAGAGAATCTGATAAAGCCATCATCTCTAATGGATCCACCTCATCAAAAAAATCTGAGTCCCTCATGATGGAATAAAATTCTCCGCTTGATAGATCGACTTCACTGAGCATGTCCAACATGTCATACATATCAAAATTGTTTTCTTTACGTTGAGGTGGTGGCCTGTGGTGTATCCATGTGTATGAGCCAGGCTTCACTGTATGCTGAAAGTAACAAATATGAAAATCATTAACACATTATAGGATAGGTAATCCTAGCTAGCTACTGAACAAGCAATGCAAATCAAATATTTATATTCTCAGATCTATTTCAAGGCCCGAAAACACAGGTTTGCCTGCATTGCGAATATGGGCACAAGCCATAGCTCAGTCTAGCATCATTTCCAGTTAACCAACAGCTCATGCATCACAAAACAGCTCAATTGGCATTGATTCCCCCTCTATGGTCTTTGTTTTGTTCATGTCATGTAATAATGACAACAAGAAGGGTTTGGATATATGAATGTGCATATGATAATAGTTGTTTCCATACTGACATTTTTCAAAAATATTCATCAGATAACAACATAAACACAAGTAAGCTTTACACATTGGCTACAGCAATTTGTTAATCTGAATATCGTTTACAATAATTCATTGGTTTGACAAAATGGCAAAACAAGAGTGACATTCCCAAGTAAGTTTGGTTGGTGAGCTAAGGAACATTAAAGGAAATTTTAAGTTCAAGGTTCAAACCATAGAAACTAACATAATCACTAACTTGCTAATATTTCAGTAAAAAATAAAAGAGGGATGTTACAATACTAACAATACTTGCATACATAACAACTTCAATACACATACTCTTACAAACAACCTGCATTTATTTTAATATGAATTTGGTTTCCAATAATGCATATTTACAAATTGTCAAACAAATGTAAAATTGGAATGCATGGCACATAGAAAATAGGGTATATAATCAAGGTTATAACTAGAGCATGTACTAATCATGAATGTAAATCAGATTGGTTGTGTTAACACAACAAAATCCTTTAAACTCATTTTCCCTTTATTAATTAAATAATCGTAGTTGATAGAAGAAATGGGTAGTGAAGTGGGGCAGTGATGGAGAAGTTAAAGATCAAACGTATTCTTGATAATGACAGATTTAAGGAGTTGTTCCTATTGTAATTGACAATAATTAATTTGCAACATATACTAGGCAGTTGGCACCAAACAAGATTGAAGAAACTACTTCTAGGCCTTCAAAAGCTCTAAATGATTGGAACATACAGAAGATGAAGTAAGAGATGCTGTAGAAATGAAAGATGGGGGAGAAAGAGATCTACAGATCTAGTGAAAGCAATGACGGTGAAAGTATGGTATAAATTTTTTTATAAAGAAAGAAATACTGGTTGAAGATAAGAACAAAAGTATAGTTGTAGATATTGTAATCCAGATGTACAAAAGTCAACAACAGCTAAAAGGATTTGGAAAGAACATACAATTTATCTGTGGCATCATGCTGAATTTCAACAAATAATCTAACAAAAAGAGAGGAAAAGCACTGTAGAAAGCATTTTATCGCCCAAAAAACACATCATGTTTACTTATATTAGTCAAGTCATGCTTACTTATATTAGTCAACAACCATCAAACTCGACCGAGAAAAATGTAAAAGAAAGCAAGAGACATAAGAGAGATGTACCTTGTAAAAACAACTAGCCCCAAATGGACAATTCCCATTACCAGATTCAAAATGTTTGCAATCAATCAATCTGAAAGGGGAAAAAAAAGGTGAAGTCAAAATTCAAATACCAAACATCCAGGCTTAATTCTTTCAGCATACACAACAGTAAATATATGTTAAATTACCTGCAGTTTGCCTTGTAGTTATCAATAATGTCCTGTTTTTCTTCCTTTGTAGTATACCAAATACCACTTGGAATGACAAAATATGATAGTTGGCGGCAAACAGGGCAGGTTCTAACTGTATTGACATTATTACCCGTTTCCAATTCAGAGGCTGGGGCACTATTACGCCAATTGCGGATACATGACAAACAGAAAGCATGGTCACATTCTGGAAGCAACCCAAACTTACGTTCTGATGGTTTGGGTTTGGAAAGGACACGCTCGAGACAAACATTGCATTCAATCTCTTCGCTATTTTTCAAAGCCAGAATGTACTTTTCCTTTTTGTCACAAGTCTTCAAATGATTTTCCTTTTCTCTTTTATCACTAGGATGTAAGCAATATTTTCTACAGTACAAGCATTGGTTTCCATGAACACGAGAACATCCATGTCCAAAGGGGCAGTTTGCTGCGGCAAATTTACAAAACAAATGTCCATGCAGTCTAGCACTAGTACCGGTACTACTAGATTCACCAACATCGCTAGAGTCCTGATGGTTGTGTTGAAAACTCCTTACGCCATTCTTGCAAGGTGGAGGAGGAACTCTTGTAACCTTCGGAACCCAACTTGGTGCTAGTTTAACACCGTGAGGCACAGCACAATTTGGAACCAAAGATGCTGAAGATGATGCTTGAGAAGGTTTGACATGCTTATATCTGCACCGACTACCATAAGCACAAGACCCTTTCTGATAATAGGAGCAAATCTGTTTCTATACAAAATAAATAAATAAACAAAACTAGTAAGAAATATATAAATGCAAATCACAATCATCAATAACAACGAAGAGAAATCAGAATTAAAATTTACATCAACCAGAGTATCCTTTCTTTGATGAGTATCCTTTCTTTGATGAGAAAAATCACATTGATCCCCTTTCAAGCATATCCCTCGGGCATAGAACTTGCAAACCCTGAAACTCATAAACTTAAGTAACTAAATTACAGAAGAAAAAAACCTTTGAAGCACAGACCCGGTAACACGACACCGACATTGACATGTCGACAACGGGAATACGACACCGACACTGACATGTCGACAACGGTAATACGATAGGACACGACGTGTCGACACCGGTAATACGATACGACATGACACTGACATGTCGACACCGGTAATACGATACGACACGACACTGACATGTCGACACCGGTAATACGACACCGACACTGACATGTTGATGCCGGTAATGCGACACCGATACTGAGATGTCGACGCCGGTAATACGACACCGATAATAATTTTAAAAAATGAATAAATTAAACCCCAAAATTGAATTTCAAAAAGTTCATCTTCCAACCTTGAACAGAGAAAAGCTGAATAAACTTCATTTTCATTCAAAATTTCCAATAAGTAAAAGCTCCAACAATCAAATAGATGTTTGAGGCTGAGCACATCAAGAACAGCTCACAATACATAAACTATCATCTATGATCAAACAGCAGAAACCATGAAACCCTCTCTACAAAAACCTAAAAATTGAAAGCCATACAAAACAGCGAAATTGAAGCAGCAGCAGCAACAATAGCAGCAGAGAAATCGAGAAAAAGTGAAAAAGGATCGAGAAAAGTTGTTAAGATTTACCTGGTGGACATGGCGGAAGAGGAGAATTTAGGGAATGTGAAAAACGGTGGAATAAAAATTAAAGAGGGAAGAAAAAAGGTGAAGGTGAATTTGTTTATTATATATGTATGACCTCATTTGAAAACCGGGTACGGTAAAAAAGGGTTTTTTTTGGTTGTATACGTTATCTTTCTTATTATTATTAGTACAATACAATTTACGTGTGCATTTGTTGTAATAATGTTCAGATTTGACGTGTAATAAATTTATTACCATCTCTTCCAACTTAAATATAAATTGAATTAATTACATTTAAAATTTCACGCATTTACATATTTAGAGTATCGACTGTTTAAAATTTCAAGCGTTTGTATATATTTAAATTGAAATGATTTAATTAGACATGACAAAACCCGGACACTTCCATCCCAAATTTAACGGAAAAATTAATTTAACTAGAAGTTGGGATAGTAGAAAACTCAACTTTTAAATATGGGGTTGTCTCGCCCTATTAAATTTAATTTTTAATCTTTATTTTAATAATTTTACTATTCATTAATTTTCTTAATCTTTTGATAACAAATTCAATAGAATTATATTTATTTTTTAAATATAGATTAAAAAATACTAAGTATTATCATTATTATTAAATAATTAATTATTTAATTTAGTTATTGATTTTTATTTTTATAGAATAAAATATACATTTTAAAAAATATACAATTTTGCAAGTGGAAGTGGAGTAGGCAAAAAAATCCATTTAATGTTAGGGACGAGGGTGGGTGGTAATTTGCTACCCTATATTTGAAGCAGCGGCAAAAACGAAATTGATATATAAAAATCAAAGCGAAACTAATAATACTTAACGAAATTGATATATATAAACAGAAGCGAGACTGATAATACTTAAATTCATCTCGCTCACTTTGTGCCATAAGTTTAGAATATTCTTTTTATTAGAAAAAAGAATATTAGTTCAAATTTGAAGTTTTTTCTTGATTTCATAATTATTTTGGTGAAACACACTTAGCTTTTTCAGTTAAAATCAATAGATAAAAAATTGTTTGGTTTAGCTTTTAGTTTATATTTATTTTATTAATTTGTATATTTTTTTAAGTTATAGAAGTAGTTATTGACTTGTCACTTTTTATTTTAATATACGCAAAATAATTTTTTTGGTCCCTTAACTTTAACTCGGGGTCCATTTTGATCCCTTATCTTTAAAAAGTGTCAAATGGGTCCTTTAACTTTTAAAATAGTGTCATTTTAGTCCTCACCGTCAGTTGCCCCCAAACGTCCGTTTGTTTTGTATATCTGGCAGATGAGGTGGCAATCTTGTTCATGATGTGTCTTCCTTCTCTCTCCTCCTTCGGTTGAAATCCCTAAAATAATCTCAAATCCCAAATCCCAAATCTCAATTCCAATCACGAATCCGTAAATTAATCTAGGGCAAACATGAAATCTGGATGTTCCTCTTCCATTTCAAAAACGAAAAGTCGGGATTCGAATGTTTGTACTGGTCACGATGGAAGCCCATGTGCCATTGTGGAGACATGGTTGTTCTTCAAAGGGCAACTACTGTTAAGAATATGGGGAAACATTTTTGGGGTTGTCCAAATTATAAGGTATGCAACCTGGTTTTGTTCTCTGTTGAAGTTATGTTTTTGTGTAAATTATGTTTCTGTTTCTGTTTTTTGATGTTTCTGTTTATTATCCATCATCCTCTAAACAATGAATCTTACAGGGAGGTATGCAAGCTGGTTGTGGCTTCTTCGATTGGTTTTATGAAGAGATGGGTGATGAAAATGAGCAATTTTGGATCCATAGGATGGGTGTGGTTGTTAGAACACAGATTGGTGTTTCTTATATCTCTATGTTTTGATGATAACTGTTATGGAATTTTGTAGTAAGAAAACATACACTCTAAAATTTGTTCAAAGTATTATTGTTTCAGGTATAAAATTAAATACCCTTAAAGAAGCAAAATACATAAGTACAAAGAAACTATGCAAAGCTCTGAAGCATCAGATGCAAGACTATCAGAAGATTCTGAAGCGCTTCCAGAAGGATCTGAAGCAGAAGTTACAAAATGATCTGAAGTGTTAATGAAAGAAGTATACAAAAGCTAAAAGCTCTGATCTTATCAGACTCTGAAGTTCTTTTCACTACAAACTCAGAGGCTTTGATAACCAGACTCTTATCATTAATATTCACGCTCAAAGCACATACTGCTGCATACTCTGATGAAGACTCTAATCAAGATTGAGACTCTGATACATCAAAGATCTGATCATCTATCAAGACTCTGAACTTATCATTCATCTTAAGCTCTGATCATCTTAAAGCATTCCATACCTTTTATGCTTACTACAAGTTCTGAAGTGCAGATTATGAAGACTTCATCTTGAAGGAAGCTTATTAAAGAAGTTGTAAACTTGATTAGACGTGGTGCTACTTCCAAAGTAACCAACGACTAATTTGTCCAAAGAAGTGACGTGGTGCAAATCCCAAGGCTTCTACAACCATACCTTTCTGCAGAAAGCATATCTCTGCCCATACTTTTGGTGATGAAAAGTCATGCAATCAAATATTATATTCAGCTGCACATCACTCAAAGCATTTGAAAAAGCTATAAAAGGAGAACTACTTCAACATTTTGAGGTTGCTAATTCACTACTCACAGTTGGCTCATTGCTAGATCACTCAGAAAGAAATACACGCTTGATTCATAAAAGAGAAAATCTCACAAGATCTTACTCATTTGATCTTTCATAAAACCATATAGTTTTTGTTGTACTTAATCTTAAGTGTAAACATCACAGTTGTGATACAGCTTATTAGAAGCATTCAAACACTTGTTAGTTTACATTAAATTGTAAGAAGTTCCTTAAGAAGACCAAGGTGTGGTCAGTAGTTCTTGAGAAGACTAAGACAGTTGTTCTTAGTGCTTTCTATTATAATCAGTTGATCAATAATGGATTAAGTCCTTGCAGAGAAAGGCAAATCATCTTTGATAAGGTGGACTGGAGTAGTTGAGTTCAACGAACCAGGATAAAAATCTTGAGTTGTTTTTATTGCCATATTTCTTAAAACTCTTATTCAACCCCCCCCCCCCCCCTTTTAAGTGTTTTTCTCACCTTCAGTTGGTATCAGAGCACCGGTTCTGTTTGTGCTATCACTTAACCGTGACCAGAAAAGATCCAGTGGGAAAAACTCTTGATACTCTTGGTTGATATACATTATGGCTGCTGAAACTTCAACACCCAACAACAACAAATATGAAGAAAGAGTCAGCACAAAACCTCCCATGTTTGATGGAGAGAAATTTGATTATTGGAAAGATAGACTGCAAAGTTTCTTTCTAGGATTTGATACTAATCTTTGGGACTTAGTTATTGATGGATATGTTCATCCCACTGATAGGAATGACAAGAAAGTTGACAAAAAATCAATGACTGAGGAGCAAAAGAAGGAATTCATAAATCACCACAAGGCTATAACTATATTGCTAAATGCTATATCTCATACTGAGTATGAGAAAATAACCAACAGAGAAACTGCCTTTGATATATTTGAACCCCTGAAGATGACTCATGAAGGGAACTCTCAAGTCAAAGAAACCAAGGCTCTGGCGCTGATCCAGAAGTATGAAGCTTTCAAGATGGAAGAATCTGAATCTATTGAAGCAATGTTCTCCAGATTCCAGATTCTCACTGCTGGCCTAAAGGTTCTGGACAAGGGTTACTCTACAGCAGATCATGTCAAGAAAATAATCAGAAGCTTGCCAACCAGATGGAGACCCATGGTCACTGCTCTGAAGCTGGCAAAGGATCTGAACAAGATTACGCTGGAGGAACTAATCAGTTCTCTAAGGAGTCATGAGATTGAACTAGAGGAAGATGGGCCTCTAAAGAAAGGTAAGTCAATTGCGTTAAAATCTAATAAAGTTGTTAAAGCATTGCAGGTATTAGAAGAAAGCTCTGAAGAGTCTGCTTCTGAAGATGAAGAAGAACTATCCTTGCTATCCAGAAGAATCAATAAACTCTGGAAGAATAAGCAAAGGAAGTTCAAGAACTTTAGAAAACTAGATCAACACAAAGAATCTTCTGGGCACAGAAGATCTGGAGAACACTCTGGATACAGAAGATCTGGAGAATCCTCTGGACACAGACGATCTGGAAAAAGAGAGGTTTTTTTGCTATGAATGCAAAGAACTTGGGCACTACAAGAGTGATTGTCCAAAGCTTCAGAAGGAGAACCCAAAAAGAAAGTCAGATCATAAAAAGAAAGTTTTGATGGCTACCTGGGATGACTCAGATGCATCTGATTCATCATCAGAGTCAGAAGAGGAATGTGCAAATGTAGCATTCATGGCTGACATTGAGGACAGTGTTGAATCATCTGGATCAGAATCAGAATCTGATTCTGAGGAGGTATTTGCTGAACTTTCTAGACAGGAACTTGTTGAAAGTTTATCTAATATTCTTGAAAACTATAGTAAAGTTAAACTCAAATACAAAACGCTTCTAAAGCATATTGAATTTGAGAGTAACAAGTTTGAATCAGAAATAGCTGAACTAAAAGCTGAAAATCTTCAATTGAAAAATAATTTAGAAACTGCTCAACTAAACTCTGATTCAAAATATGAATCATGCTCTAAAAATATTTTACAAGAATATGACTATAGTTTCAGGAAGTTTCTAACTAAAAGCCTAGATAGAAGCAAAATGGCTTCAATGATCTTTGGTATTAGCAGAAACTATAGAAAAGGTGTTGGATATAAATCCTTCTCTTATGAAGATTCAAATCCAAAATCTGTAGATAAACTGGATATCAAGTATCCTCCTTTATATTCTCAATTTACATTTGGTCACTTGAATGATATTAAATACACAAGTTCTAATCAGAACATACCTGTGTTTAATAAATCTAAAGCTAATCGGAACAAGTCTTATGTTGAAAGACAGAAGTTCAGAAAAAGCTTTAAGGCAACTAACCAAAAAGGACACAAGAAAATCTGGGTACCTAAGGA